CCCACGCATGCGCGGCAGCCGCGGCGCCTGCCGGGATTTGTAGTCGCCACGCCCGGGCGCTACGCATGCGCAGTGGGCATACGTGGGGCCGGTACCGGCGACAGCGCAGTGCCAGTGCCCGGCCCCAGCAGGCAGTGCCGGAGGGGCATGTCCCCGCATCACAAGGCCACCAAAGCACCCATGCAGCAGTACCTGCGTGGCACCCCGTGCCACCCAGTGGGCACACACCGGCGTCCCCCGGCCGGACCACGCGCTGGTGGCCCGTGGCTGCTGGGGAACAGCGCTGTGCCACCCAGACGGAACATGGCTGGAGCCATGCGGCTGCCAAGGAACACACTGCTCTGATCCCTCGCAGCCCTGAAATCCCGCCTGGCACCACGCCGGGCGTATTTTAAGACCCGGGATTTAAATGGCAGACGGGCGCAGAAGGACTGCACAGGCTCCCTTGACACCCCCTGTCCCCCCGCCCCCCCCCCAGCACCGCAGCACAGCTGTGCAAACGCTTGGGCTGGACGTGGCACGGCCCTGGCCACAGCCCCAGAAGGGGACAGGGATGACAACTGCCAGCCGAGCCCTGGGCGGCTGTGCTCCTCCCCAGGGTGTCGGGCTGAGGTCGTCCCCCCTGCAGTTGCCCACCCACCTGGCCCCCCACAGCCAGGGGCTCCTCCAGGCGCTGCTGCAGGTCACGCTTCTCGGCTGACAGCGTTTCCACGAGCCGGTTGCTGGCGGCCAGCTCTTGGGTCAGCTCTTCGATCCTCCTGAGAGGGAGGGAAGGGCAGGAGATGCTTAGGCACTGGGATGGTCCCAGGATGGCACTGGGGACAGCTGCTGGGGAGGCAATCTCTGGGACAAAGCAGAGCAGTCTCAGGGATGCTCCTCCTTCCCCACAGCCCAGCTCTCTCTCCTTGGGGCGACCCCTCCACCCCCCTGGATGCCCGCAGCCTCCCGGCCCTGCACAGCACCAGCCCCTTGGTAGTCCCCAAGGATCGGCACAGGGCACAGGCTGGCAGCATAGAGGGGACAGGTCCTGCGCACCCACCTCTGGGCCATGGTACCGCAGCCATCATCGCTCCTGTCCTCCTCCTTTGTTCTCGCAGCTTCCTTCAGCTTCCCTGCCAGCTCCCGGCACCGCTCCGCCTCGGCTTTCGCCAGCGCCGTGGCCTGCTCGGCCTCACTCCGTGCCAGCCTGGCCTCCTGCATGGCAGCACGGTGAGCCCCCAGGCACCGCCTCCCACCCCCCCCCCCGGACCCTACCACTCCTGGGCTCACCTCCTGCAGGAGCTGGATCTTGTTCTCCAGGAGCTCATAGACGTGCTCCGACTCCCGCTGCCGTTCCTCATACTGCTGCCGGAGCGCTGCCTGGCTGCGGGTTGTCTGGTTCTCCGCAGCCACCCTGCCAAGCATAGCACGGCACGGCATGGCATAGCGTGGCGTGGCACAGTGCAGTATGGCACAGCACAAAGTGGCATAGCGTGGTATGGTATGGCACGGCATCTCGCATGACATAGCATGGTACTGCACAGCATGGCACAGCACACTACGGCATGGCATGGTATGGCACGACATGGCATGGCACAGCACGGCATGGCTTGGCAGGGTGCAGCATGGCGTGGCATGGCACGACATGGCATGGCCTCCCTTTGCAAAAGCCCCCACCCCAAACCAGCTGGACTGGGTGAGCCATGCCACCCTGGGTGCCCCCAGCCCAGCTCCCCCCATGCCGTGGGTGCTGTTTCTGCAGGACCCCCGGGCAGGGTGTACTATAATCTCCCAGTGCTGCTGCCCTGGGGACAGGGCTTCTCTGGTGGCACCAGGTCATGCTCAGGCTCTGAACCACCAAAGCAGTCCCCTCATGCTCCCAGAACCAGGGGGTCCCCTGGCTGCCGTGCCCCAGGCCCCCCTGCCCAGCGGTGCCCCACTGCGGGACACCCACACCACGGCCCCCAGGCATGGCGCTGCCCTCCCCTGCCAAACAGGTGCTGCCCTTTATTTTTGGCTGGTGCCGGGGCTGTAAGAGGAGCCCTGCGGGTGCCCAGCCCCATTGCAAACACCTCCAGCCCCACTGCAGCCGCTCCGCTGCCTGCTGCGGGCAGGGCGCAGGCAGACAACCTCGGTCCCCCTTGCCCACGCAAACACCACAGACGGCATGTGGGTGCCATGTCCATCCCAGGGTAAGGGGCTTGGCCGGCCCCACTCACCATGTATTGTCCAGGGCTTGTTGCTTCTCCTGCAGCTCCCGCTTCAGGCTCTCCACCTCTACTTTCAGCTCGATATTCTGTGGGGAGGCAGGGAGGTGGGTAGGATGCCCCCATGCCTGCCCGGACCCCCCAGTGCCACTTCCCACAGGAATGCATCAGAGGTGGCATGGGGGTCCCCCACCCCACGGCAAGGCTTCGGGTGCCCATGGCACTGAGTGGCACGGGTGGTATTTTAGCCTGCCGGTGCTGGGATAGGGTGTACCTGCTCCATCTATCTGCACCCAAACTGGCACCGCCACTCACCCTGGGCACCCCACCAGGTCGGGGAAACCCTCCCCAACCCTCTCCCCGCTCCTGTCAAAGGCAGCAAGGGGCAAACTCCTGCACAGCAGCTCCACCAGCCCCAGCGCCGTGCCCGATGCCCTCCCCGGCATCCCCACCGGCTGTGCTCCCCTGGCCCCATCCCCTCCTGGCAAAAGAGAGGGCACTGGGAGGGAAACCCCCCTCAGGCACCCATCGCTGTCCCCCACGGGCGCTCACCCGCCGGTAGACATCGTCCCGGCTGCCCTCGCCCTTCTGCTGGACGCGCTCCTCCAGAAAGTAGATGCGCAGCTTGAGGCTGAAATTCTCCTTCTTGAGGTCATTGAGGTGCTGGGAGAGCGTGCGGTACCCGTTAGCCATGGCCGGTGCTCCATGGGGGGGGCATCCCGGCACCCCTCACATGGCGCCACCGGGGACACGGCCCAGGGTCCCTGCCGGCCCGCAGCTCCCGCCGCCGGCCCTGCCGCGGCCCCTTTCCTTTTTTTTTCACCTCCCAGAGCTATTTGAGGAATCGCCGGAGCGGGGACAGCGGGGACGGGAGGGTGGTGAAACCTGAGCCCCCGCGGCCCCCGCGCGCCTCAGCCAGGAGGGCGGCGAGGGGGAGCATGGCGCCCGGGGGGGGGCTGAGCCCCCTCTCCCTGTCCCACCGCCGCTTGTTCTGCGTCCCCCTCCCGCCCTCCACACCCCACTGGTGCACCCAGGGGATCCGACATGTATCCTGCAAGCACCCAGTGGTGCTGGAGGGGGGG